CAACAAAAATCTAAGATAATAATCAACAAAGATTTGTAAAGCAAGTTGAATATAACGCCATGGGCGACAAATATACATAAGTTCAAAGTAAATACATATACAAACTCAACACATAAAGAATACACAAAGAAGAAGAGAAATGAATCACAAATCTACCGATTTGTCAGCGTGATTGAAGAGCAATCCACCCCGGATCATCCGTATGCAAGCTTCAATGTTGTTTTCTAAGCTCTAACTATCAAAAAATGAAGGTTGATGGAGTTGGGATAAAAAATACCCAAAACCATATCCAAAAAATGTGTTTCTACACCTAAATACACATTTCTGACTGTCCAGCATCGCCCGACGACCAAAAAGCGTCGCCCGATGACCAAAACAACATTTTCCCCATGATACAACTCGCCTAGCGTCGCCCGGTGACCAAAAGCATCGTCCAACGACGGATGACAGAAAGTTGAAAAACCAGCACAACATTCTACACTATTTTGGCCATAACTTTTGAACCGTAACTCTGATTCGCGTCCGGTTCGAAGCGTTGGAAAGCGTATTCAATACGCTTTCTAACAATGACAAAATATAAACCATATTGATGATGTTTTATTCGTTGATTTTGAGCCTTATCCATTGATGAGTTGATCAAAATCACGCATTTGAAGCTGTGTCTTCGACACTTTATGGCTCATGCCACAAATACGCATCAATACATATAAAATGAATGGAAAACTATCAAACGATACACTTTATACACGAAAACACATATAAACACAAACTAAACGTATTTACACAAAACTCGGGTTTATTCAACGATATTAACAACAAATAGTCGATAAGTGCAACAAAAAGTATATAAAAAATGACTACACTTTTGCACTTATCACACCTTCAGAATCATGACCTTCACCAGAAACATGACCATCTTCAGAAGCTTGTCCTCTAGAACCTACGTCTTCAGAGTTTTCCCTTCCAGAAGCATGACCACCATCAGATTCTGGATCATCATCAAAATATGGGTCATAATTAGATTCACCATCTGACTCATCTTCAGAGTTTCCAGAATCATCATCTAACTCTGACTCTTCTTCAGAACTATCGAGTTCTGACTTATATTCAGAAATAGATTGAGACTTGCTCCAATCCCATACTTTTAATTCTTTTACAATAACGTCTCTGCTGACTTCAACTTTATTCATTTCTGGGCAATAAAGCTTGTATGCACGTGTGCTGTGGTACCCCACCATAATCATTACTTTGCTTCTATCATCCAACTTCTTCCTTCTAGCTTCTGGAACGTGTTTGTAACATAAAGAACCAAACACCTTCAAATGAATAACATTTTTCTTGTCTCCAGCCCACTTTTCTAAATGAACAATTTCCTTCAACTTCTTCGTTGGACACCTGTTGAGCACATATGCTAATGCGACTACAACTTCTCCCCACAAGTTATGAGGTATCTTCTTCTCTTTCAGCATGCTTCTGGTCATATCAAGCAAAGTACGATTTCTTCTTTCAGCAAGACCATTGTGTTGAGGAGTATAAGGAGCAGTAACCTCATGCTCAATTCCATTCTCATCACAAAACTTCCAGAATTCTGTAGAGTTATACCCACCTCACCATCCGTTATGAGAATCTTCAGCTTCTGATCACTTTGTTTCTCAGCCTTCACCTTGAAGTTCTGAAACTCGATAAACACCTTATGTTTAAACGTGATGAGTGTTACCCACGTCATTCTTGTAAACTCATCCATAAAAGACACAAAATATTTACTTCCTCCAAGTTAAGGTTGTGGAAATGGTCCACACACGTCACAATGCACTACTCCCAAAGCATGTTTTGCTCTTGGAGCTACTTCTGACACAAATGGCAATTTGGGTTGCTTGTCGTTCATGCATACCTCACATGAATTCTCAAGCTTCACAATCTTTGGAATGCCACACACAAGCTTCTTGGAACTTAGATTCCCTAGGCTTCTGTAGTTCAGATGCCCTAATCTCTTGTGCCATAACTTACTATCAACTTCAGCGTCTTCTGAACTAAGACATCCTGCTTTTGCTGTCTCTACATTTTCCTTGAATGTCCTATTGTTTCCTTGTTCTGATTGCATAACCAGCTTCTGATTAGAATCATACAACTTCAAGAGATTGTCCTTCATAATAATTGAGAAACCTTTCTCAATAAGCTAACTCGCACTCATCAGATTGCTCTTAATTCCAAGAACATACCAAACATCCTTGATCAGAACAGTCTTCCCATTCTTAACTTTAACTTTGACATTTCCCATACCTTATGCATTAAGGTACTTATCATCAACACATTTGATTTTTGTCCTCCTTCTAGAGTCAAAATCTATCATCCATTATTTATTTCCAGTCAAGTGATTTGAACAGCCAGTGTCCATATACCACCAGTCTGCCAAACACTTTCCATCAGACTCAAAAGCCATCAATAGCACAATTTCATTATCAGAATCTCCTCTGGCTATATTTTCTTCTTCTGATCTCACTCCCTTATTTGACCAACAATCTTTAGCAAAATGGCCAATCTGCTTACAACAATAACATTGAACCTTCTTCTTGTCAATCTTCTCCTTACCCTTCTGAGGTTTCTTCTCATCAGAAGTAGAAGTTTTTGACTTCTGGAATCTATCACCACGTCTATTCTTGGTTTCTGACCAAGAATGCTTCTGGCTCTTTTTACAAAAGAAGCCTTCAGAGCCTGCTCAACTTCCCTCTCAGAAGTTCTTTCAGTCAGACGTAACTCATGCGCCTCTAGACTGCTTTGCGATTATTTTATTCTCATGGTTTCTAGATCTTTAGAATGTTCAATTGCTACAACATGTAATCAAATTGAAGAGTAAGTGACCTCAATATCTTCTCAATGATTACTTGTCCAAAAAGGGGTTTCTCACAAGCTTTCATCTCATTAGTGATCAAAATCACTCTGGAGATGTACTTAGAAACATTCTTATTATTCTTCATGTTGAGAATCTCATATTTTTTTCGTAGAGGACTGAAGCTTTACCTTCTTCACTGATGCGTCACCACCATAGCATCTAACCAGTGTGTCCCATGTCTCCTTCGCTGTCGTTGAATCAACAATCTTCTCAAACACATTCATATCCACACACTGATGGATGTAGAACAACACCTTCTGATATTTCTCTTCCTCTTATCTCTCTGTTTATTTCTCTCTTTTTCCGTAGCATCTATTGCAATCAGAACATAGCAATTGGTAACAAGTTCAAGCGCATCTTGAGCACCAAATAGCACACGCATCTGAATCGTCTATATGTTCCAATTCTTGCCATAAAAACCGGAAGTTTGATACTCAGACTACCGTTTTCGTTCATCCTTAACCTTTGTATAACTCACTTAGATCTCAGAAGCATAGTATTTCTCAACCCCACAGAATCAGAAAAGTTTGATTCTGTTTAGATTTTGTTTAAGATTCAACACGAACCCAGAATCAAAATCAATCACACAAACGTACCACGTTTCACCTCGTGTTCCCTATGTTTCCTTGTGGATCAAAACTTGAGGTTTGATACCAATTTGTTAGTGCACAAGAATCAATGATGAACAAAAAATAAATTTAAGAGAGCAAAGAGAATGACGGCTGTAAAAACTGTAAGAGGAATAAATATTATTCTTTTTTTATGACATTTACAACTTGTCTATTTATACACAAAAGGTAATACTACGTAGACCTTAATAGAATAATCTTAATAACTAAGATATCTAAAACAATTAGAAATACTAAAATATTCTTTAATAGATTATTATTATTATTATTATTATTATTATTATTATTATTATTATTATTGTTATTGTTGTTGTTGTTATTATATAATAATAATAATAATAATATATAATAATAATAATAATTATTATTATTATTATTATTATTATTATTATTATTAGTATTTATTAATATTATTATTATTATTATTATTATTATTATTATTATTATTATTATTATTTATTATTATTATTATTATTATTATTATTATTGATTATTATTATTTATTATTAATATTATTATTATTATTATTATTATTATTATTATTATTATTATTATTATTACTTATTATTATTATTATTATTATTATTATATTATTATTATTATTATTATTATTTATATTATTATTATTATTATTATTATTATTATTATATTATTATTATTATTATTTTATTATTATTATTATTATTATTATTATTATTATGATGATTATTATTATTATTATTATTATTATTATTATTATTATTTATTATTATTATTATTATTATATATTATTATTATTATATTATTTTATTATTATTATTATTATTATTTTATTATTATTATTATATATTATTAATATTTTATATAATTATTATAATTATTATTATTATTTAATTTTATTATTATTATTATTATTAAATATTAATTATAATATATAATATAATAATAATATTAATATATTTATAATAATAATAATAATAATAATAATAATAATAATAATAATAATAATAATAATAATA